ACATAACAGGGCTAGGATTCAAATCCTGTCTTTGTGACTCCAACGACTGATTTTCCCAGCCCAGTAGGCTGGAAGGAATGGATGACCAGTGAGGGGCACTGGCCACGAGCCAGGGAACAAGAGTGAATTGGATTCCAGGGACATCACTGTGGCTCATGGTACACCCCTGGGGTCCTCCCCCAATGTGATCTAATGCATCAGCATCCGGGTGTTCATCCATGGGCCAGTTGTTGGCTCCCTCGATGCCAGAGCTCTATCCCACTCTCTTCCCCTTTCATCCTGAGGGAGAAACTGAGGCCTGGTGGAGCAAGGGGAGTGTGGGCTCACACTGAGTCTAGAGAACAGGTGTTTCCCAGCCAAGGGCCCCTTGTGACACCCCACTGCCCCTCAGTTGACCTTTCCTTTCAGTTCAAGGGGATTACACAAATCCATGATGGTTAAGCTGCCACAGGGTACTATGGAAACAAGTGCCCAGCTCTGTTCACTCCTTCCAGCTGGGCAATAACAACACCAAGGCCAAGGCCGACTTCTCTGGCAAGGTATGTTAGGCTCATTTGAGAGCAATGGTACAATGTGATTTGACCCTGGGCTCGGAGAGGGGAGAAGCCATATTAATTAAAAGAACAAATTTCAGGGCCAAACCTGGTCTTTCCTTGAATACCAGACCATCAATAGGGACAGAGAATGTTACAGAGTCTGCATGTGTCAAAATATACACTAAGAAAATGTTACATGCACACCTCAGGGGATAATTTACATAATGCCCCACTGCAGTTTCTATACATTAAACATAGAGTTCTGTATTTCTATTATTTTAACTGGTTCAGAAATCTGAATAAAAACACATGATGCTCACTTTTGAAAGGTGAGAAAGGTAAAAAGTTAAGTTCTTACTGGACATATTGGTACACTTGTAATTCGTAATCCTGGCTACGTGGGGGGTTGAGGCAGGAGGATCATGAGTTTGAGCCCAACCTGGGCCACACAGCAAGACTCTCTCTCTCTCTCTCTCTCTCTCCCTCACACACACACACGTCTTTGCACCTGCTACACAGCCACTTGATTTCTCTCTCTGGAGCTAAGTATGCTACCATTTTGGGGTATTTTCTCCTGATACTTAGGGCATATACAAACATATATGCACACATTGTCTTCTTTTCTACAAAAATCAACAACCATGCTTGGCACACCTTCCTTTCTCACTTGGCAGCACCTCTTGCTTGTCTCTGGCCTGGCATTTCCTGTGGCTGTACTGTGATTTCCTTCACTAGCCCGATGCTGGGGCTCTAGGTCCCCGTTTTCCTGCTGTGCACAGAGCCTCCGTGGCTACTTCTGCACACTTGGGGCACACAGGAAAGACTATCCAGAGCCACTCTGTCCAATACGGCAGCCACCAGCTATATGTGGCTATCTACATTTAAATGAATTCCATTTAAATCAAATATAGAATTCAGTTTCTTGGTCACACCAGACACAATTCTACAGCCACGTGGGTCTAGGGGCTTCCCCAGGGGCAGTGCAGCAATGGAATGTTTCCAGCATGCAGGGCGTCCCGGTGGCCAGTGCTGCTCTTGCTGGATGACACATTCCTGCGAGGGAAGGAGCAAGCCAAAGGTCTGTGTCTGAAGCGCGGGCAGAGATGGTCAAGTCTCCCTTTGAAGAGGTTCTAGCTATCATCTGTATCCATCATCAGTAAGACTGAGGGGGGAGAGCTCTTTTGTTTCCCAACAATTGTATGCAATGTTGGAAAGAACAAGAAGGTTCCCTGTGTGCTGGTTCCAAGGACATTCTGTTTCTGTCATGGTATCCACGTTGCTCATATCGGACTCTGCTGTTCCCAGCTTACAACGGCACACCTGTCCTTGGGTCCCACATGGCATGGTCTCCCTTGGACACCCAGCCTCTGCTGCCTTGCCAAGGTCTGCTTCCCTCTAGCTCTCAGGCTCTTCTCCCCTCTGCATGCCCTACCTGGCTCCTGTATTGCAGGGAAAGTGCCCATCCCTGCACAGGTTCCCTATTGCTAGAAGACATCCTTTACCAGGTACCAAGTACTCAGTACCACCCCAAATCTCCCTTCCTTCCATCCCACTGTCTCCCACCCTTTGTCCATTTGGGGAATCACGACTTCTGAGCTGCCACTCCCTCAGGCACCTTCTGATCTCATCCCATAGAGCTCCTAGCTAACCTACGAGTAGCAGTCTGCACAGTGACTGTCCCTTCCTTCCTAAGTGCTGGGCTTCTTGGCTTTAAGACACCAGAGCCTCTTATTCCCCATTACTCCATCTCTGGCTTTGTCTGGTCTCTTCCTTCAGCTTTTACAGCCTGGGCCACCTTCTCCTCATTCTCTACTTTCTCCTGGGCCATCTCATCCCTGCTGTGGCTTTGATTAACTTCTCTACATCCTGGGAACATGGTAATACATTTTAATTTCCCTTCCCTTGATCATTAATTAGTTAGATTGAGCATCTTTTCATAGGTTGTGATCTTCTGTATTTCTTCCCTTATAAAAGCTGCTTTGAAGCAGAGTAGATGTTGGATGTTAGACACAGGTTCCATACAGATCCTGGCCATGGCACTTCTTGGCACTGCAGGACTCTTCAATTCTATACTCTTTCAGCAGCCCCCATCACTGCACAGGACCCTGTCCCAGCCTGCATTCTTCTCCTCGGCTGTCACCCCCACTCCCTCTCAACAGTCCTCCTCTGAGGTTCCTGCTATCTGTTCTTCCCCTCCTGTTGAACTCCTCTTCCTTCCTAGACTTCAGGCCTCTGCACTTTGTATGAGGACTTCAAATCTCATAGATTTCTTCTCGATCCCTTTCCCCAGCATCAACTTTGGAGCTTCAGCATGAGGATAACTTTCTTGGTCCATATCTTATAATTACTTGATTTAAAACCCAGTGACTTTTATTTCAACTCTCCTGTACCTAATTGTACCTCCTGTAAATGAGCTACCTCTAAGATCTCTGACTCTTGAGTTCCTTTTTGAGCACTGCCTTCTACAAACCCACCTTCCTTTCTGTAGCACATCATCCTTGGTGTGATTGCAAGTTTTTTTTGTTTTTTTTCCCTTTCTCTCCAATCTTGCTCGGACCTCCATCAGACTGCCCATCCAGCCTATACCCCCATGACTCCAGGCTGGCCTTGAACTCGAAGTTATCCTCCTGCCTCAGCATCCTGAGTGCTGGGATTATAGGTGTGTACCACCATGCCCAGCTTAATTTTTGCTTTTGCAATGACCATCTTATCACTGAGGGGTGATGATGCCAATTTAAAAAACGAGACACACACACAGAGATGGGAAGAGAGAAGAGACAGATGGGGACAGGGAGAGAGAGAGGGAGAGGGAGATGGGGGAGGGTGAGTCTATATGCAGCCTTAAAACTGGACATAACTGAGCTAGGTCACAGGCAGCCGCAATTGGGAAATGGTTTTTCCTAAAGTGCCAAGTGATTCTCCATTAGTGTCCCGTGACTCCAGGGCTAAGCAGACTTATTGTGGCAGTGACCATGCATCACAGTGCCAGGTCTTGGCCTTGGCTGAAAGAAGCAAAAGCACTGCATCTATGCCAAAAGGAAAGGAATTGCAGTTTTTGCTTGTATAGGACAGGATAGATATCTCTTATGTAGCCAGTCCTGTGCCAACAGCTTTAGAAGTAAAATTGCACCCATAGAAACTATCTGAGGTCCTGCTGCCCAGAAACAAGGACATATGTCCCACAGGCTGATGCCAACACTGCTGGTGCAGATGCTCTGGGACCAAACACAGGCCTCAGCATCTCCTCTGCCTGGGGAAAGGCAAACATACATTCCACCTTTGCTCAGGACAGAGATCTGCAGCTGAGGGGGGCTTGTGGCAGCAGGGGACTTACAGCTCAGTGTTTTAGTAAACAAAAACTGCCTTGACTGGCCAATCTTTTGTGAAGGGGGTTGGGGCCAGTCTTTGAGAAGCCAAGACCAAATGATTAAGAATATTTCCACTTGAGAGCAGTTTTTCTTGGCTACCCAGAGCCTGGGAGCATCAGTGTGCAATGGCAGCTTGTGACAACAGTATAGCAGTGTGCGTTTCCCAGGATGCTTTGAGAAAGGAGGCCTGATTCCTGGGGCTCGTGCTGAGCAATCATTTCTGGGCAGAGGACCACTGATCTTTTAGGGTCCTCATCGTCCTATCTGAGCTTGTAGGCTCTTCTTTTCCAGAGCTTCCTGTGAATAAAATAACACTGTGTTCTGTGGGCTTCACAGTTCCTTCTGGGCTTCTATGATGCTCACTCTTGGCCTTAGGCTCATCCATGGAAGAGGGATCTCTCCCATGTCTCGAGCCTACATCTTTGGCTTCCGAGCTGTACCAGCGACCCCAGACCCCTGACTGAGGAGCTGTCAGTCCTGCCTGGGGGGCTGGGCTGCACCCACAGCCAGCACTATTCAGGGTCCACCCCAGCACACGTCCCTGTGCTCTTGATTTGCACCCTCTCAGGGCATCTGGCCAGCCATCTTCCTTCCTGGGGAATTCTGTTCATGCAACTCAACCTCCTCACCGCCAACCTTGGAGACTCCCTCCTGGATGCAGGGATGGGGAGGCTCATGCAGTGTAAAAGCTGACCGCCACTTCAGTGTGGTGAGCCTGTCACTCCAGAAGACCTGAACTATGGACAACCCTCTTACACTGCTGGGGCTAACTTCAAGTGTGGCCGCTAACTGGGGCATCTTCTCTCAGACTCTAGAGGTGGGAAGTAGAAAGCTCTTCTGTTGGGGCCAAATTACAACTTGTTAGTGTGCAAAGTTGCTGTAGTGAGCCCTGGAGATCCTGGCTGAGAGGTGTTGAGTGTGTGAAGCCAAAGAAAGGGTCTGGGTCACAGCAGCTCAGGTTTACAGTGGACCCTTCCATCAAGGGTGGCACGCAACGTATACTTCCTTCCATCAAGGGTGGCACGCAACGTATACTTCCTTCCAGGAGCAACTGGGGATTGTTGCTTGTAACTCTGAGAGCAACAGCCACAATTACTACAGATGGTCAAAGTCCTTTATTTCCAAAGAGCAGAGGCCGGAGCCTGGGGCCCTGCTGTCCCCACAGCTCCCTTTGCATTCAGAGGCACAGCATGGGTCAGGGGGCACATCCTTCTCCAGTAGGGGTGGGAGCAAAGGCTGCAGTGAGGAGGACATTCAGGGAGCCCAAAAGTCTCCAGTGAGCCCTCTTTCAGGGTCGCTTTGCCAGGGGGCTTTGAGAGGTCCAGCCGGAGGTGAGAGCTGAGGTCAGGCTCCAGTGCAGGTTCCCTTCCCATCACAGCCTCCGGGCCTTCCTGGGGCGGCAGCCGTTGTGTGGGTGAGGGGTGTTGTCTGTGATAGAGATCACTTCCAGGCCGCCCATGGTCAGGCCCTTGATGGCAGACTGGAAGGAGCAGAAAGAGGAGAATGGCATGGTCGCAGAGGTGAGACCCATCGCCTCCAGACCAGTCAGGGCAGGAGGGAGGAGTGGGGAGGCGTTGGCTCTGCCACTTGTAGCCCTGTTCTTACTCTCCCCTCACAAAGGGCTCCTGCCAAGCCCCTTGGCCTTAAGTTCTCAACACTGACCACCTCTCAAATTGCATCTGCCACCTTGTGCTTAACAATCTGAGGATGAAGACTCCTTGGCACATCTTCAATATCAAAGCCAAAGACCACGCTGCTGAGCGCGGAATGCCCCCACAGGCCCCCAGCACGTGCTTCACCACCAGAGAATCCTGTTTGACAGACCTCTCCCCACCATCCTGAGATGCTCCTGCTTGGGTGCTGAGCCTGCCCCCGGTATGTACTGAGAGATGGTCCCCTGTGGCACCGCGTTCCCACTCCTGGGGCCTGGCACACAGGGGACGCTCAGGGAGGGTCCAGTGACTTAAACAAAGTTATCTAGGCTCATGTGGAGGGGGTCAGTAGATTATAGGAACAACAGGAAGAAACTTCAAGCCATCCCAGGGAAACCCACTAAAGGGGGCTTTCCTACCCTCACTTACCCAGCTCTCAACCCCGAATTCCACACACACCATGGAGAACCCTGGTCACTTACCCAGCGCCCCGGGCCCAGGCCTTTCACCACAACTCGGATGTGGGTCACACCCTTCACCGTAGCTTTCTGGAGAGAAGTGGTAAATGGTTAGTGGCCCAGGGAGAGAACTACTGTGTCCCAATCTCTGGCTCCTGCCCGCCTTGGGAGCCAGAGGGAAAAGGCAGCCACAGGGGCAAACAGGGAGGCAGAGGACAGAAGACTCAAGGGGGAGATGGCTGTGGTGGAGGGCAGACTCGGAGCCTGTAAGGCACAGAACTACAGTGACTGTGGTCTTTATGCCCAGCACAGCACCGCCACCTAATGGAGATTCCTGAACACTACTCAGATTCTTCTCGGGTAGGTAAACGCAGAATTGCAGACCCTCAGGTATTCCCCTGGACTTCAAGGCTGAGATTAAAAGTGTCATAGATTAAAATTTTTACAGTTAATTTTCCCCTTTGGATGATAAAGGCAGTTCCTTACAGAAATGGGAAAATACACAGAAGTTACTCATAACCTGCCATGTGGAAGCCACCGGCAACACTGACATATTTCTTTTAATTGTATATCATCTGTCCATTGTTGGACATTTATAATATTTTGATTTTTGGTGATCATTAATCCACAGCAATAAATATTTCTGGAGGGCAAGCACTGTTTGAAGATCAAGGTTTTATTGGCAGCAGCCATGGCCAGCCAGTCGCAGGGAATCCAGCAGCTGCTGCAGGCCGAGAAGTGGGCCTTGGAGAAGGTGTCCGAGGCCCAAAAGCGAAAGAACTGGAGACTGAAGCAGGCCAAAGCAGCTCAGGCTGAGACTGAACAGTACCGCCTGTGGAGGGAGAAAGAGTTCGAGGCCAAAGAAGCTGCGGCCTTAGGGTCCCACGGCAGCTACGGCAGTGAAGTGGAGGAGACCCAGGAGAAGATGGCCATCCTCCAGACCTACTTCCAGCAGAACAGAGAAGTAGTCCTGGATAACCTCTTGGCCTCTGTCTGCGACATCCGGCCAGAAATCCGTGAAAACTACTGCATCAATGGATAGACGAAAGAAGCACCTGTTCTGTGGATTAGCATTGTAGATGCTCTCATGGAATATGAAGCTTTAACAAAGTCGATTTCTGTTCTTATGAAATGCATTAAATTATTTCTTATGTTGTGTAAAAGTTCCCTTCACTTCCTGGAGAGTAGCATTTCTAGCTTCTTTGGACAAACTTAGTACTTTCTCCAAAGATTTCATCTTTTTGCCTTGTATTTCTTAGAAATTTAATGAGTATATATTGTCTGTTTCCTTATACCATTTAGGCTCAAGCAACATGTGTATCAGTGTTGACTTTTTCATTCTTAGATTTAGTAAGAAAAGGAAAAAACAGTTCTTTAAAGAAAGGAAGGGATTAAACTTTTTTTCCCTTATACTTTCTTGAAGGTCAGGGGCTTTATCTATGAAAAAGCAGTAAATAGCTATTTGTAACTTGTATGATGCAGTAGCCACCCTTAAAATAGTATATTTTGAGGAAAGATTAGAAAAGCAAATACTAGTATACTTGCTTGGGCTGTGCTTAGTTTATCTTAACCAAAATTACTAGACGAGCCGGCTGTGGTGGTGCACGCCTGTAATCCCAGCACTCGGAGGCTGAGGCAGGAGGATCACTTTCAGGTCAGCCTGGGCTACATAGTAAGATCCGGGACTGCCTGGACTATCTAGTGAGACCATGTTTCAAAACAAAACAAAACAATTTACTAGACGATAGGACTCAAGAACTTGTTACGTATTATTTGGTGTATTGATAATCATTTAGTAGTAAAAGTGAAGACTTAGTCATGCAAAAAAAAAAGAAGGTTTTATTATAGGAAATACTGTAATTATGGCCTGGAAGGGGATGAACGCCATAAGGCCAAGGCTACAGAACAGAGTGCGTGCAGGCTGTAGTCTCAGGCCAGGCTGGGCTCCTGTCAGGGAGCTGAACCAGCTCTTTGGCTCTGACCATGCTACACACACCCTGATTCTCAAACTGGCTCTTGAAAAAGTAGCTAATACTGAGGGTCCTTTGAAGATTCACAATAATGAATGTAAAGTGTCTAGAGCACAGAAGTTGCTCAATAAATATACCAACAGTAGTGTTTGACAATTTGCTTCTAGAAAGATCTGTATTTTCACACTGGAACTGGTATTGTACGAGAGTCCTCACTATATCACATGTTCTCCAAAGAGACTGTCACCCTCACCCCACTCCATGCTAAGGGCTTTTAAATTGAGGAGTTGTGAGTCTTAAGCCTTCATCACTTTGGCTCTGACTCCTAAGATAAGCCAAGTGTTTTATCTGTAATGAAGTGGAGAAAGCAAAAAGAACCTTTGCACACAGACCTCCTCATACCACCTGGAGCGTCAGGGCATATTCTCACAGGGGTTGGCGCGCATGCCACTGCTTCTGAATGGCTACTTTAATACGAACTCTCCACAGGGATCAGCCATGCAGAAAGTGGACGACACCGAGGGAACCTTGGGGTGCACGCACTTACCGCCGCTGCGGCTATGCCTGCCGTCTGTGCTGCGATGCCCGTGCCCTTCTTGGCATTCCGAAACCCTTCTGTGCCACAGGAAGTGCGGGCGAGGGGCACATTATTGTAGGAGACCACCTGGATGTGTGTGCTGGGGAAAACAGAGGAGGCATATGAGTGTAACTGTTGTTCAGGGAAATAAGAGCACTAACCTAGCCTGGGGGAGACAGAAATTCACTTGTTTCTGTAGCTGATGCACGGCTGGGAACTCCCTTCACATGTGTGTACACGTCTCACAACAACACAAGTCTTGTCACTCTGAACTCACCATTCACCTTTCTCCCTCTGACGTAGAGGTCAGTGCATCAAGGCCCAAGGTGAGAACGTTAAGGGGCTGGCACTTACTCAGAGGTTTACCTTCTGGTTACTTCATTAATAAGCCGTGTACTTGCCGATCATCTCTCCCATCACTCTCCTCCCCTCAGTACTCAGCCAACACTTGATAAGCACCTTCATGGTGGGGACTGTCTGACCCTAATACAGTTCCCCCAATTCTTGAACAGGAAATATTGTATTCAAAGAAGGCAAAACCCCCCCTCCCCCCAAAACAAAAAACCAACAAAAGCAACAACAACAAAACCCTTATAGATACAATCTGAAACTTAAATTTTAGCAAGACAGAAGTGTTTTCCTCAAATAAGAAGTGGTGAGCCTGGGGACCCTTGTATCAATATCATCATGCAGCACTTGGCACCCTGATTTCTCATCTGTGGAGGGTTGAAGTGGAAGGAACCCCACCACCCAGGGGCTCCCCTTCTGGCTCACTTGTTGTAGGTTGCTTTAATGTGTGCAATTGGGATCTCTTCAAATTTCTTCCCTGCCCATCGTAGAGAGCTCTCTTCTCCTGGAAATGGAGGGTAAAGGCTGCAATTAGAAGAAACATTTTATTTAAAATTGTCTTGATTAAAAAAAAAAAATTGAAGACATATCACTTGGAAAAAAAGAAACAGAAAATGGTACTGACGAGCCCAGAACGAAAAACAACATCCCTAGGCCCCTGTCCTGCTTGGAGGGTCGCTGTCCCCACCATTCATTTCCAATTGCTCTGGGGCTACTGTGGTTTCTGTGAGCACTGCACTTACAGGGCTTTTCTTTCTGCTGTAGTGCTTGGAATTGAACCCAGGGCCTTGTACATGCTAGGCAAGCATTCCACCAGTAAGGTACAATTCCTGCTTGGAGCTACTGTATTTTTTGACTTGTTGACTTCAGACATATCTAGGGACTTTCTGCTATGAGAAAGGATAATTTAACTCATATTCCCCATCTTTCCTTGTCTTGCTAGAGAATCACATCAGTACTTTCAAGTCCTTTATAGACCACTCTTACTGCAGTTTAAAAATCTAGACAAACTTCTACTTCTTGTTTTGTCAATCACAGACAATATCTTGTCTGTATAAGAATGAGCCCATTTCTGAATATCCTAGCAAACTTCTGTAAGGGCTAGATGGCAAATATCTTAGGTTTCCTTGGCCAATGGTCAAGAGATTTGGGTCACAACTACTAAACTCTGTTATAAATAGCCATAGACAATAGTAAATTAATAAGTGTGGGTGTTCCAATAAAATTTTACAAAAACAGGCAACTGGCCATAGTTTGCAAATCTCTACTGTAGACTGGTGGTTTTCACTGGAGGCAAAACAGTCACCCCGAGCATCCAGATGCTTAAGCTTCACCCTAGACTTCAGAATGGGTCCAGGAATCTATTTTTCAAATACCCCAGGTCAATCATATGTGAACTGTGTTGGGAACACTGGCTTAGACACTGTGTTGAGTTCAGTCTTAGTCTATTTTCAGCTTGCTGTATGTAAGTTCTCTTCATTTTTAGATGAAGAAACTCAGGTACAAATAGGGGATTAGGGTTCTTAAGGGAAGCTGGGCTTAGACCTATGAGATTCACCCCAGTGCAGAGCTTTGCACACCAAGCTGTGCTTTTTAAAAATCTGAACACACACAACTGTCATTCAGCAACCCAGCTGGGAGAAAACCCACTGCTCCACTCTGTTTCCGCACCCAAGTCAGATTCATGTTTGTATCCCACACAGCCACGCTGAATTTCTCATACAACAAACTTTATTCTAGACACAACACTGTAATCTGAGCACCACTTTCCCTTCAGCTCTTGCTGCTTTTCTAAGGGTATTTCAAAAGATAAAACTAAACAACAGTACAGTGGTATCCAAAGGTTACATGTGTATTCTTTCCTGAGGTCTGATCTTAGAGATGATGTAAAGTCCAGGAGGTTGTTGGCTTCTCTGCCTACATGCAGATATGGGAAGAGGATGAGTCTTGGAGATGACTTAAATGTTTAAAAGATGATCATTTCTCCACTGATTATTTCCCCTGTTCACAGGGGGTCAAAAAACCATCTACTGAAGTCTGAGTGTCATCACTGTAAAGTCTTTTACAGACAGCAAAGTTTTACAACTAGAAAGGATTCAGAACTTGATCTGTTTACCTGAAAGCCTGAACAAGAGTATGCCCTTAAACCTCTCAGGTTCAGTGTATAAATGAACAAATGGCTCACCCAAGGAAGCCCCCCAAAAAGCAAGAAAAGCTTTCAGGCACCTCCCTCTTTCTACCCATCGTTACACCAAGGTAACTAAAGAGACAACCGATTTTTTTTTTTTGGTACCGGGGATCGAACTTGGGTCCTTGCGCTTGCGAGACAGGCGGCAGAACCACTGAGCTAAATCCCCGGCCCGAGACCAACCTATTTTCTAGTATAATTGCTGGAGACAATTTTAAAAAATGTAAATACATGTAGAAAATGCAAAGACATAGCTCCTGGTTCAGCTTTCCTTAGCACTACTCCTACTGTAATTACTGGTGATTTCAGTAAGATCCTTCCAACCATTTGGCTTCTATTTCTCAATCTATGCCCTTCAACAACATGTGCCCTCTGTCCTACCATAGCCATTTACTCCTAGGGTCACACCTCACCTTTGTCATTACCAGTACCTGCAGCCACATTCTGATCTTCAAGCACCATACTCTCTGACCACCACCCCAGCACACTCCCTCTCCTGCTATCTTCACTCCAAGAACCCTTCAATCCCACAAGGACCTGCAATCCAGCAATCCTATCAGTTGTCCACTATCCCGCACGTTCATGTCCTCATTTCCCTCCTCGCCTAAACCTCATGGCCAATCCTGATGACTACCCCCTCGCAGACACTCTCGATTCTGTTTCTCTTACTTCACTATACCCCTCTAGCAAGCCCCTCTCCCTGGTTAAACCCATTACTCCAGCCACTCAACCTGTGCAAATACAGCAATGCTAACTGATCTCCGTGATGGAGGCTTCCCAACCTCATCACTACTGACATTTTGGGCAAGATAATTCTTTGTTGTGGGAGGCTGTCCTGTGAATTATGGGGTGTTTAGCAGGATTCCTGGCTTCTATTTACTAGATACTGTTCCCCAAGTTGTGGCAACCAAAGATGTCTTCAAACACTACACAAAGTCTCTTGGGGGCAAAGTTGGTCTAGGCTGAGAATCACTGCTGTATTTCAGTGACTGCTAGCATCAAGTGGGCCCTCAGCACTGCCTGGCAATATCCCCTGTTCAATTATCCTTCCATTCTTCTTGATGACTCTTCTGAATTTTCTTTTGTCTCCTCAAGCTTCTAATTCCTTCCTGCTGACTCAATGCCAGCTGATGACCTCTACAGAAGCCAAAGCAATCAGAGTTTCTTCCACCTCCCACGACCAAAAACATCTGTGCCCATGGCCTTTGCTGTCTCCCTTGTTCTGAAGCTCTGCTTGCATATTAGTCCCTCAAGGACACTGCTCTAGCAGTGCTTGCACTTCAGTGTGTAGTTCTTTCCTCTCTACTGCATTATTCCCAGCAGCAAAGCATACGGTTATGCCCTAAACCAAAAAGAAAAAAAAAAAGAAAAAAAAAAGAAATCAAACTCCTTGAACCCAAGTTCCCTCGACTGCTCATTTCTCTATTTTCCCCTTATAGCAAAAGTCCCCTGAGAAACTGATTACACTCCTGTTTCTTCCTGTTTTTATTCTCCTTGAACCCACTCCAATCAGTCATCAGCCCCTACCACTCCACCAGAAATGCTCTCATCAACATCACCAACCAAATTTACATTGTTAAATCCAACCAGCAATTCTGTACTAGCTTATCAAAGCATTCATATCAGCAGCCCTGGACACAGCCGATCTCCCTACCATTAACCGCACTGAAAAAACAACTTTCTTGGTTTTCTTTCTGCCTCTCTGGAGGTTGTCACTTTCACTGGTTCACCCTCATCACCTAAATCTCTACTCTATGTTGTACCTTCACTCAGATATTAATACTAGGCACCTTCAATGAAACCACCCAAACCTAAACTCCTACAGTTTTTCCCCATCTTAATGAGTAACTTCATCTTTCCAGTTCTTCAGGTGCAAAATTTTGGAGTCTTCTTTCATTCCTCTCTTTTTCTCACACCTTACATTAACAAACCCTGTTGGCTACACTGTACCTTCAAGATTTATCAGTCCGGCTATTTAAACTATCTCCACTGCTATCAACTTGGTCCACACCAGCATTGTTTCTTGCCTGGATTATTTCTCCAGTTTTCTGTTTATAACTTTCCCCAGTGGCTTAATATCAACACAGCAGCAGAGATTCCTTTTAAAAAGCAAGCAAAATCGTGTCAGTCCTCTGCTCAATTCTCCAGTGGCTTCTCATCTCACTTACAAGTCCTCAAGATGGCCTACAAGCCCTATACACTGTGGACATGCAAGCCTGCTGGAACCTCCCACTGTTTTACTTGTTTTCTATTTGCTGTTCCCAACCCACTAGGATTTAAGTTCTATGGAGCGGGGCTTTTTCTCTGTTTGGCCAGGTTTATGCCAATGCCTGGCATTGTTCAATTTTTTTCCCCCTAGTGCTGGTCCCAAATATGGGACCTCATGCACAGTAGACAAGCACACTGCCAGCAAGCTACACCCCTAACCCTGACAATGCTGAATAAATGCCTACAACAGAATCTTGATTTAAATTCCTTCAGCAGTGAGGAAAGTGTAAAAGCTCCAGGATGTCAGACAAGACCTTCACTATTCTGATTTCTTCTTGTCTTGCTGGCCTCATCTGTCATCACCACACCTAAGTACACTATATTCTTTCAAACTACATGCTTTTACACAGAGAAGTTATCTTTGGCTGAGTCTGTTCATCTTGCCCAGCTGAACTTCAAAGTACTTCACATTATCTTCACTTTCTTGCTTGATTTCTAAGAAGTGAGGCATTTTTTCTTTCATACTTTCAACCAGTTCTTACCCATTATACCACTGACCAGAATATGGTGAAACTGTGTGCATATCTTTTTTAGAAAAAGACTGTGAACTATCTTAGTGGTAGAATGACCTTTTGTATTTCTGGTACCTAGCATGGTACCTGCTACATAGTAGGTTCTCAGTAAACGTTTGTTAAATGGATGTGAAGTTAATTGAAGGGGTACATTGCCTGGACACCTAGGTAGTGGCATTGGTAGGAGGCAAGATGCCAGCGCCCAAGGGTGAGCATGAAACTCACCCCGGACCTTCAATCAACTCATAGTGCAGGATGATCTGCTCCCAGGTGTAAAAACCCCTTTCATTCCATTCTGTATCCAAGGCAGGGACAGTTGTTAGTTTGACATGAAATCCATCTCGGTGGAAAGAAAGCACACATACATCTGACATTCACTTATTCACTCAACACATGTTCACCGAACAACTCGAAGTTCCAGAGCTTATCTCATTTGATTTTCACACACAATGCCTCTAAGCAATAGCCCCATGTTTTTGACGAGAAAACGGACTCTCCGAGATTGATTTGCATGAGGTCCTGTGGATGGCAGGTGACAGGGTTGGGAATTCACTGCTTTTCGGGCTCTGGAGGGTGGTGGGCAGGAGTCACGATAGTGGGTCTCCCGAGGACTGGATCTCAGTGGCCCTCACCTGAATCTGCTGTGGCTCGTAGGCTCCTGCTCAATTTCCTGTTTGGCCGCTGCATCGTGCATCTCCTGGGCGCCAGTGTGGACGGTCCGGGCTGGGACTTCCGCCATAATCCTGCGGAGAAGGAAAGCTCGGTAAGGTCCTGGCTTAACGGTCACTGGAGCTCAAGTAACACCTGAGACACGGACAGAAGTGCAGTCCCAAAGGTGGCGGTGGAGTCTAAGGGGCAATTATTCTTACCGGGTGGTCTGGGACCCAGTCCATGCCCGCAGGATCCAAGACCCCACGTTTCTTACAACCTGCATGACTTGAATTGTCCCAGTCAGCACCCGTCGGTGGCGTTGGGGTAGCTAGAGGCGCCGGTACCATGAGTGCCTGCGGGGGAGGGTAGAGAAGGGAAATTTATCTTGTTGCTCTTTATTGGGTGCATTAAATGTTTTTCTCAATTTAATTGCTCAATAAAATTTATCGTTGCGTGTTCACTTGGGAATTATTCCCCCTTTAAATGTCCTAACAAGAGAACTTCAACCACTCCTGCATATTGGAATGGTTCGTGGTAGTAGGTTAGGGACCGACCTCTCCCCCATTCCCCACGCCCCCGCGTTGCCTTATGGGAGCAAGGGATTGGCTGAGGTCTCCTCTGGGAGCCGCGGGACATTGTGGGAAGGGAGAAAGATGGCGGCGCCTGTGAGGCACACAGTGTCAGGATTGACGAGAGGCTGGTGGCAGTTCGAGAAACTTTGGGCAGGTGGCTTCGGTTCTCGCAGCCTGTCTCTCGAGACCGCACCCTTAAACAACAGATCGCCATGGCGTTTATTGGGCTCGTTGTGTCTGCAGCGGCCACCGCTCATCTCCAAGCCTCTGACCCCCCTGCAGGAAGAGATGGCGGCTTTGCTGCAGCAGGTAAGACTAGGATGTGGGTTTAAGGGCGATGAAGGGGAAGCAATAGCACACGGGCCTTGGTTGGATACTAACTTCGTCACCAATTAGTTTGTGTGACCTGAAGCAAAGGGTTTCTTCTTTCTCAGCCTCACTGTACTTGTTTGCAAGATAGAACTAATTAATGTGTTGGGTTGAAACACAATAGGCGTTTAACAAACAGTTTATTTTCATTGCCCTCCTTTGTTGTCTCTTTGGACAACACTTTGGAACCACTTTTCTTCTTTATTCATCCAACGCATTTGGGATCCGGTGGAACCAATCCCTCTCACCAAGCGCTCTCTGACTGGAGGGGAGAAAGTCTGATGTGTGATGCGTGTTAAGAAGGAAGCACAGGAGGCGGGGGCACATCTGTAAGATACCTGTGATAAAGTCGGCTCTGTTTTACCTCACAGGGCTATTTCTGTAAAGGGCAGGTAAAATAGGGGCGAAAAATAAGTGTAGTGGTTGTGAAGGTGCTAAGACCCCACAAATAATGACCGAAGGGTGTTATGTTTCCAGAGAATCTGAGATGTTTTTGTCTTGGACTATTGAAAGCTATAAACTCGTCTGTGTGTGTGTGTGTGTGTGTGTGTGTGTGTTTCTTGGTTTACTTGTGCAGTCACTTGGCAAATTATCGTTACTCACCTTACAGATGTTCTTAGGACATGCATTTTTGTGTATCAGACAGTGTGTTGTGATAGAGATGCAGTACTGAATAAGGCAGATGTAGCTATGGCTTAGAGTTTTCAGTCCAGTGGAATGAAGGGAGGAGGCCCGTAACCAAATAATCACATAAGTAATTGCAGACCCTGGTAAGTGTTGAGAAGGAAATTATAGAATAATGCGTTTCACAGGGACGTCTAGTTTTGAGTTTATGGGAGGTTTTAAGGAAAGTCTCTCCGAGAAAGTGAAATTTAGTAAATTGGGATCAGAAGGATGAGTAGAAATCCTTTGGGAGAAAGAACATGAAGGAATACATTCTGGGAAGAAAGAACATTTGTAAAGTCCCTGAGGCAGGAAAGTAAGATGCTAATCAAAGATTGGCAGGACTGGAGTGTGGTAGTGGGCAGGCAATGCCCGTCCCAGACCTCTTCTTTGTAGCAGTCTTGACCCCTAGTCACATTCTGACATTCTGACAAGTGTAACTGAAGCCTTATGCAGGTGACACCTCTTTCTTTTTGTTTGTTTTCTTTCTGTATAGCGTTTTGATTGTATGTCACGATTATGTCATGATAAACTTCTGAGCCTGTTCAGGGATGCTGTAGCTTTGTTTTATTTATTACTGTTTTTTCTTCTTTTTTTTTGGTTTGTTTTTGATTCTTTTAATTTTTTCAGATTGAAGTAGAGAAAAGCCTATATTCAGACCATGAACTTCGTATTCTAGATGAAGCCCAGAGGCTGGCAAAGAAGAAAGCTGACCTGTACGCTGATGTAGAGCAAGATGAACAGGATATATTGCTTGTACAAGATTTGGAAGATTCATGGGAGCAGGCATTCCTAAATTTCAAACCTGGAGCGCGTATAACAGGTTTGTGATCTTTTTTTTTTTTTTTTTTTTTGGTACTGGGGATCGAACTCCGGTCCTTGCACTTACGCAGCAGACAGCAAAACCATTGAGCTAAATCCTTGGCCCAGATTTGTGATCTTTTTAAGCCAACAAAAAGAAAGGGAAAGAAGGATATTCCGGTTCCCAAATATAGGACAGTTGCTTAGTCTCTGCTTTGTGTTTTAAGTAACAATTTCAAATAACAGAATATCTCTGAGGAAAGTAAATTCTTTCCCTTAAATTCTTTTTTTTTTTTTTTTGGTATCAGGGATCAAACTCTGGTCCTTGTGCTTCGGAGGCAGGTGGCGGAACTACTGAGCTAAATCCCCGGCCTAGTTTCCCTTATTCTTTACAACTATCCTAATACAATTTTTTAAAAGGCCTGTGTTACTTTTTTGTGTTGAGGTAGCCTTTTCTCAGTTAAACTTGGTGAATGTTATCTGAGTTTAATTCCTACTCTAGGACAGAGTGGAAAATATTAAAACTTTTTCTTCTAGTTTTTGTGTTTCATCAGAAATCCCTCTTAAAGCAAGGGATTCTATTGTCACTGTTTCACAGATGAGTGAAGAGCAGAGAAAGTGGGGGCCACTTAGGTCAGTAATAGTGATAAATTCAACCAAGCAGTTGTATTTGACTTTTTATAGGTATTGTTTGTTCTCCGGAGTATGTTTTGCTCTGTAGAGGAAATGTATTGTGAACCTGTACCCTGAAAGAGGTCAGAGTTAGAGACATGGGTTAGGTTGTAATTTGGCTGTATGTTCTTTGAGGGCAAGGATTATAGCTCTCCCTAAAGGGAGGCTCTAAAACTTATGGTTTTTTCGGTTCTGGTAGATTGATCATCTTTGCCTCCTCTGACCTCCTTTTCTTCATAGAAGCCGATAAAAAAAATGACCGAACCTCACTGCACCGGAAGCTAGACAGAAATCTTGTCCTGTTAGTCAGAGAGAAACTTGGAGATGAGGATGTTTGGTTGCTACCCCAGGCAGAGTGGCAGCCAGGGGAGACCCTCCGAGGCACAGTGGAGCGAACACTGGGCACTCTCTCAGGTGAGTTCTCTGCTTTCCCTAAATCTCAAGATTCTCTTCAGAACTGGATTCAGTGATGCATGCCTGTAGTTACAGCTACTTGAGAGTCTGAGGTGAGAGTATTCGTTGAGCCTAGGAGTTAATGCCAGCCTCGGCAACATAGTGAGATCTCGTCTCAAAAAAAAAAAAAGATTGACTTTAGACCTAGCTGGAGAATTAATAGGCTGTGAGATTGGGTTTAAGAGTAAAGAATAAGAAGGTAAATGGAGACTGATGTTTATAAAAATTTCTACTAGAAAAATTCAGACAAGTACTTTCCCTTGAAATGAATGAGAATCTTATCTTTGTCCCACTGAGATTTTAGTGCATTCAAAACTGGTGTTTCTATTATTCCCTCTGCCTCTTTCTCTTCTTATCCTTATAACCTTGCTTGTCAGTACCATGGCTTATCCATTCACTCAACTAGAAACCTTAGTTTTTCTTAACCTCATTCCAACATACTTAAGTCTTTGAGACCTACTTGGTCTATTCAAATAGCCCTGTTTTTTATTCCCTTGGCTTTAGCTGTGACTCCCTTCACTTCTTATTAGATCAGCATTTCTCAGCTGTGGCACTGTTGATGTTTGAAACCAGATAATTGTTTGTGGGGGGCTATTCTGTGCATTGTAAGATATTTAGCAAGATTTCTGACCTCTACCCACTAGATGCCAGCAGTACTACCTCCTCCTCATACCCTATCCCTCACCCTCAATGTGACAGCCCAAAATATCTTTACACATTACCAGACATTACTTGTGGAGAACCACTACACTGGCCTGTTGAAGGAGATGCTAAAGAAGTTGCCCCTTGCTTTTGTGTCATACCCTTCAGTGCTGCTAATATGAGCTTTCTGAAGTACAAATCCCTTGTTACTTCTCTGCATAGAATTTTTAAAGGTTTCCCATACAAAGTCAAATTTCCAGCATGGCTTAGACTTCCTTTTTGCCTTGGTCCTTATCTCATCAGTCTTCTGTCTTACATTGTTAATATATATTCCAAGTTCTGACTCATAAAGCTTTTGTATTCCTTAACTAATGTGGCCTTTCATGCATCTTTACTTTGAGGCATGCTGGTTCCTGGCAGAATGCTTTAGTACTTCCTGGTCTGGCTGCACAGTTTTTAACACTCTGCTTATATATATTGTACTTTTTGTATTGCAGTCTTCCTTGAGCCTCCAGGTAAAGAGAATGTCTCTTCCTAGGCTTCCATCACACTTGCATGTACCATTATTTAGTTTATGAAACAGACATCTACTCTGTGCCAGGTCCTCCTCTCCAGGCACTTGTGTCACAGTAATGAATTGGATATGCCCTTTCACTTATGCTTTTACTGTAGTGATTGTTTATTGCACACTTCTCTCCCCAGCCAGAATTTTGAGTTCATTGAAAGCCTGGAAAGTATCTGTTCCTCTTTATGATTTCAACTCTCAGCAAAGTATCTGGCACATAGTAGGTACTTGCTGAGTGCTGGTTGAGTAAATGGATTTGGTGGTATAGGTGTACAGCTGCTTGACCAGTCCTGCCACCAGCCTAAGTGCTCTTAACAAAATGTCAGCAATCAATGTGTGCTCCCTTGACCCTTTCTAACCAAGAACCTCTTTGGCTTGTAGGAGAGGCAGCAAGCCACAGTGGAACATGGGGCCTTTGCTGTTTTCACTCTCAGTCATCACATAGGAATTAGGGGCTGAGTTACTTGCCAGGATCATTGTGTTCAAGTGCTCAGCTTCCCTCAAACCTCCATGACAGATTCTTGCTCCGTACTACTTCCTGTGTCCCACATGGAAGTGGCTCTATGCTTTGCTCCTCTTAAAATTTCATTTGTAATTAATAAAGTTAAAGGAAATGTGTGACATTAAAAGTATGTTTTATATTTAATACATGCATAGGAAATAGAATATATTGATTTATTTCAAAAATATTAATTGCAAATTTACTATAGTAGTAATATAAAATAAAAGTGGCAAAGAAAAACTCAAGCAGTATGTAAGAAAAGTAAGTATGTTACTTTCTTCAGCACTTGCTCCACACTTCCAATATTTCTGCAAGATACAGTTTCTAGAGATGGGATCAATAGGTCACAACTAGGCACACTTAGTTTTTGATAAGTACTGCCCAATTGTCCTCTGGAAAGTATGTAACAGATGACATTTTTAGGAGCAGTGTGGGAATGCCTTGTTGCCTTGACATGTGAAATAGCACAGTTCGTTTTTGCTTCTTTAGGTGGCAAAAATGATCTGATCTCCCTTAGGGATTAGTACATTCCTCTTGCTAGTGAGATTAGTCATCTTTTCATATGTTTATTAACTATTTCTTCTTTCATGAACTGCCTGTTCAGATCCTTTGTTCATGTTTTAATGAGCTGATTTTTTCTTTTTGATTTGGTTGTATTTTTTAATCCACCTTTTCCAGCTTATGGCAAAGTAATATGCATTATTGAATTGTTTGGAAAGAATAAAGAAATACTCCAGTATAATTCACAAGTGTGCACTGGTTACATTTTGTATTGTATGTGAGTGATCTTACACCATATGTAAACTCTTCATCTAATGCTAGTAATGTTTTTTTAATAAGGGATAGCAATTCATGTATATGGTGAAAAATTTCTAAACAGCATCTCATAAATGTATAGAAAGTGCTTTTCCTTTCTCAGAGGTAACCCTCATTAGCAGATTTTTTTTTTGTTGGTGTGTATATCCTTTTAGAAATTTTCTATGCATATACAAGCATAACAATAAATATTTTCTACTTTTATATAATGGGAGGATATAGATAGACACACCACACACCCAGAGTTAAATACCTTTTTCCTCATACAGCTTTTAACATTTTCCAGATCAGCATATAAAGACTGATTTTAGATGTTTTTATCACCAGCATACTATTTCATGCAATGTAGGTACTGCCATTTGCTTAGTCTGTTGCTTTTATAAGTAAAGCTGCAGGTAACATCCTTGTATATTCATCTTTGCTCACATGGGCAAAGATGAATATTTGGGAGGATAAAGTTCCAGATTTGGCTAGGTAAAAGAGTATGTACAATTAAAATTGATGTTGGCAAATTATTTATAATATCTCCCTAATTTATATCTCCATTATATGTGTGGAGGTACCATTTTTTTCCCTTGTCTCTCTTACACAGTATAAAAATCAAAGGTTTTGAACTTTACTATTACAGTCTTTTCTCAGTATGTGCAAGGGATTGGTTCCTGGCCTTTCCCCTTCTACCGCACACTTGAACATCTATGGATATATAAAATGGCATAACATTTGGTATAACTTGCACACATCCTCCTGTATACTTCAGTCATTTCTAGGTTGCTTATGATACTTAATATGATGTAAATGTCATATGAATAATTGTTATACTTAGTGTTTAGGGAATAATGACAAGAAAAAAGTCAGTGTGTATTCAGTATCGAGCCATTGTCTTTCTGCCCCGAGAATTTTCAATCCACAGTTGGTTAAATTCATGGATTCATGACCTGCAGACAAGGAGATAAAGAAGGCCAATTATAATGACATGTTATTATTTGTTTGTTTGTTGTGATGCTAGGAATTGAATCCAGGGCCTTGAGCATGTTAGGCTCAAGCTCTCTTCTACCAAGCTACAACTCAAGCCCGCGATATGTTATTGTTGTTTTAATTTATATTACTTTAATTATCAGTTAGATTGAGTACTTATTAATATATTTATAGGCTGTTGATATTTTCACATGAACTTCCTGTTCAAATATTTGGGTCATTTTTCTTTTGGATTTCATTTTTTTCCTGGATTTATAAGTGCTCCTTAATACAGTACTTGAAGATATTTCTTTGTTGAATGTGATGAAAATGTTTTTCCTAGTTTAACATTTTGTCTTTGACTTTGTTGTACTTTGTTTTTCCTTGCAGGAAGATAAAATTTTTTGTAGGAAAATATATTTTTTAATTTGGGGGTTTTTGAATTTTGTGTCTTGTGTAGAATGGCCTTCCTCTCTCAATAATGACACAGAAAGTATCCCATGTTCTCTTCTAATACCTTATGATTTTTAAATGAAAAAAATGAAAAGTTTAAAAATACAGAATAATTTAGGAAATACTAATTGCCCATGAAACCACCATTCAGAAGGAAGAAATTGTTTATGAAAATTTGAAATTTTGGTTAAATCTTTCATCTGTAGTATCACTTCAATGTGGATACCAAGGTTGGCATCTGTCTTGTTTTTCCATTTAGCTAGCTAGTTCCTCAGTAATTAATCCTCCCTTTCCCCATCCTTAGAAATGCCTGATAAGGATTTAAACCATAGTTACAGATTGCAGATACTGGTTTTTAACTTTGTTTATGATGTTTCCATACTATAGAAGTCAAATCCGGGGTTCCTTTTGTGTTTTGCCTGTGTCACCCCTTTGAAAGGCAAGTGAACTTTGCTATACAGACACCAAGTATTGTCAGCAGATGGTGAGCAGGCTGTATGCAGGAGCCAGCTGCTCTCGCTACCAGAAAGTGTTTCTGGAACTGTGTTGCTGACTTCAGTTTGATTTCAAGTGGTAGCTCAGCGTGTGTGAAGGACCCAGTGAGCCTGGACGAAGCATTTGGATTGAGAGGGCAAGAGGCTCTTCAGGAATGGCCTCCGTCCTCAGTCCTAGGGATAGCTTTTATTTCAGGACTGGAACTGGCATTCGTAGAGAATTCTGTGACTTTGGGAACTAGAATAAACTGGAGGGTGTGTTTTTATCTCCCAATTTTTTTTCCTCCTTCAGAAAACAACATGAAAGCCAAGTTCCTAGGAAATGCACCCTGTGGCCACTACAAGTTCAAGTTCCCCCAGGCAGTGCGGACAGAGAGTAACCTCGGGGCCAAAATATTCTTCTTCAAAGCACTACTATTAAATGGAGACTTTTCCCAGGCCGGGAAGAAGAGCCATCATGTGTGGGTCAGTAAGGAGGAGCTGGGCGACTATTTGAAACCGAAATACTTGACCCAGGTTAGGAAATTTCTTTTGGACCTCTGATGGACTGAGCTGCCTGAGGACAAGTTGGGCCTCAAGGACTTTGGCGTGTTGCCCCACATGTGCAGGGGATATGGAGGAGTAAACAATTTGAAGAATTAAATGAATCTGTCCTGTGTTGTCTCAGCTGATTTGCCCTGGGGGGTCAACTGGCTTCTCCCTGTGAAGAGGGATCTCCTAGGGCACCTTTTTGTTTTTTCAAGCTGATAATAATTATTTTATTGCCTTATGGTGAATTAACTGACTTAAGGGGCCCAGGAAGAAAGAACAGAAGGAAATGAATTGACAAAGCCTTGAATTCTGTAAAGCTTCTAGAGTCACAAGAAAAACCTCACTGTGTACAGTTTCTTAGCCATTTTCCATTTTGTTACTCCTGTCCATTTGATAGGAAAATGTTTTAATCTAGCTTAAAAATAATGCTGTTTTTCTTCACTTTTTCCCTTCATCCCTTCTTTTCCTTCTTAAAAGCATTTTATGTTTAAAAATAAACTCATCATGTCATACCTGTTTTGAAATGGTCACGTGTAGCAAGCAAGTTCAGCTTATCTTCATTCCTCAAAAGGAGGAGTCATGGCCAGGCTGTGATGTGGCCTGGAGTCATGCTGTACATCTCTTGTGTTAGAGGAAAAAGCTGACCTCTTGCCTCTGAGTTGGGCCTTGTGGCTGTTCAGTTTGTTGCTTGGGTCATCACTGGTCCCAGGCGCCTGCCACATAGAGGGCACAAATAAACATTTTGCTACATGAGTGCAAGAGAGTGAGGAAGTCAGATATGTCTGTTTGTCCAGACTTGTGGTTCTAGTGGAGAGGCTGCAGTCCTGGATCCCATCAGACTTCCTGGTTTCCTCTTGCCCAGCCTTCTGGGTAAATAGATGGTCCTCTTGATGGAAACTTTGTTTCTGCCTCAGATGTATCCTTGTATTCTTGCACAGGGTCATAGAAATTGCTGTCTATAATGAAAGTGAGGTGCCTCATTCTGTATCTGACTCCTTGCCCTTTACCTCATTGCCCACATTACTGGGGAAGATGTGCCCCGGTACAGCGTGCTCATCAAGAGCAGTTGTGGCACCTGGGAGTGAAGCCTGGGCACAGCCATAGGACCAGGGTGCTCTGTGTTTTAGATTGTGTCATACATGTTATCTGTACTATCTAATCCAGAGCCTTAGTCTGCTCTAACCTAGAAGGGCCAAAATGAAGTGATAATTTTCATAACCGTGCAAAGATAGCTTGTTAACATTCTTTTTTTTTTTTTTGTAGTGTTGGGGATCAAACCCAGAGGTGTGTGCCTGTTAGGCAAATACTCTACCACTGAGCTACAACCCCAACCTATAGCATTGTTTCTTTAGCGGGATATAGTGTTTAAATAGCCCTTCCATTGTGTTCAGATACCAGAGGAAACCAAGTGGAAAGGATGAAACTGGGAATACATCTTGCCTGCCCTTTGTTTTAAAAAAATGAATGAAGAAGGGCCCAACTTTGGCAGCGTGTTTAGTATGGTTGGAACTCATTTCTTCTAGGAGCTGCATCTCAAAGGTCCCACATCTCTGTAGTGGCACATACTCAGGCTTTAATGCTACGAGGGACCAGTACACAAAGTGGTAGGGATTTCACTGCATCAGTGTCCTCATTGGGCTTAATGCTTCTGTTTGGGCTCTGGCTACGAAATTCCACAGGTTTTGAGTGGTCTTCTCTAAACCTCCTTTGTTATTTTTCAAGTGTGATTTTTAGGCTGCAAGATACTCAGCATTGTAGTAGAATTGACTGCATTTGTTGAGTGCCATCTTAAACCTTCCACTGGTTGTCAAAGATGACCAAAAATTGTTTGGGGGAAGTTGGCTAGGGAGAAAATAAGCTGCTCTCTGTGTTTTGAGGGATGGATGTCTTCAAAGCAAATGGCATGGTGGAAGAGAGAGTGATATGTATGGTGGTGTGCAGATTAGGAATTGTAGTTTGAGATGTGTTTGTACAACCTAAAAAGATAAATGTTGTACATGTGTGTTTGTGTGTGTATGACAGGTAAAACAGACCACCCAGCCCACCAGAAGAGTCCTCCAGAGGTGTAGGCTTGGACTTGCCACTCCCTTGGTCATTCCTTTCCCAAATGATTTCCAGTCTCTCCTGGTTCTCCCACCTTTATTGGTACTGTGGAGAAAATGCTGCTGCACTTACAAACTTGTTTTTTTTTTTGGTATCTTACCCTCAAGATGATTTATTGCTGGGCCATTTCTTCACCTAGTATGTGCTTCTACACATAGCACTTTACTGGATTATCGCCCCCCACCCCCAACTTCAAAAAGTATATAAGAGTCAGCTTCTCTCCTCCTAGGCACCAGATTTACAGTCAGAAAATAGGGTTTGAATTTGTTATATGTCCTCAAAGTTACAGCAACTATCATTATTAATACTGGTGGAGTGACTCCTTAGGACCTAGAACAGTGTAAGGACCCTTACCTAAAAGTACATTTTTATTTAAACCAGCAGTGCAGGCATTGCTATCCCTATTTTATTGATGAGAAAACACACTGAAAGAAGTTAGTTGACTTGATTAGGGTTACTTGCTATTAAAAGGATCAGAATTCAAACTCAAGACAATTTGTGTGCACTGCTAGTTCTTAACCCTGTCTTAACTTTTTCATCTGTAAAATGAAGATGCTGCTGTTTCTCAGCTAATGAGATAATTTATTTGGAAGTACTTAGCACCGTGTATGGGCTTGTTATAAGCACTCAGTAAATGTTTCCCTTCTTCCAGCAGGGGCTCCCAATTCTCCTGAATTCAGCTGTATCATCTGTAGCTTTTACAGCCCCTATTTTCACCTTTTCTGTGTTATGCATTGTGGCAACCAAGCATTTCTGACCTATTTGGAAAGGCACACAGATGATTTGGACATTAATGGATTTCATCAGCTAATCTTAGAATGAGTGTGTGGCAGGTCAGTCCCATAACTACGTCCAGCTACTCAGGCAAGCTACCCCATCCCACCCCGAGCCTGGATATCCACAGCCACAGTTAGGTGCAGGCTTATGGGGCACTAAAAACAGAATAGACCTGCTGACCCATTCTATTACCCCAGCAGGAGAAAAAGGAGCACTGCTGAAAGGTCAGCAACCCAGTTATTAAGAGCTCACAGATCGCTGAGCTGCAAGCACACACAGCACGATAAAGCCTGTTTGCCTGAAAGCGCAGGGCTCCTCAGCCCCCGCCCTTCTCAGCTTTATTTCCTAGAAGCCCAGGGAGCCTGGATTATGGCCAGCCACTTTAGACTTTAAGTCACCTTTTACCTCCTTTGGAATTTCAGTGCTTAAGACGGAGAGCCAGGGAGGAAACTGCACCTGTTCCTGCTTCCAGGAGAAGCATTCAGCATGGATCTTGCTATCAGGTTCAGGTAGCTTAGATGAATTGTTGCTGCTGAGGCTGAGGAGGGGACTGGTAGGTCCTATGAGTCAGGGTGAGGATGCCCCAGAGAGCAAGGGATAGGTACATCCTAAGCCATCCCAAAGTGGGCCAGAAAAACAAGCAACAGGTTTTGTTCAGAGGCTTTGGCAGTGCAGACACACCATTGGTCACTGAAATAGCAGAGCCCCATGCCCCAGCTAGCTGCTGAGTGGCTGAGGAAGGGGCTGGGATAGGAGAGAAACCCTCTAAATTTTTCTTTGGCCCAGTAAGGGGGAAAGCATCAAAGTATAGTCAGTTGAGGATCCCTGAGATCAGGTACTTTGAGGGCAACAGGGCTGGCAGGTGAAGTTGAGAAAACACCGGGAGTAGGGATTTGGAGGATCGGAAAGCATGACACCCCGGACTAAACCAGATTGCAGGTAGAGCGGCATGGGTGCGCCTTTGGGATTGGTGGGTGGGATCATCTGCAGGATCACCACAAGATGGCAGAGTCTGCCACTTTTTTTCTGGATGCAGACCATTGTTCCCGAAACCTTCATTGCACTTGGCCTTTGGCTGCTGCCTTTGAAGCACCTCCTTGCCTCAGGCTGAGCAGTCTTCAGGGCCTGCCCCTGGGGTTAAGAGCAGCCCAGAGCTGGCGTGCAACCAGCCAGGACAGATTCAGGGTACACAGATGGATGCTCCGTCCTCAGGAGGGGAAGGGGACCTAGAATCCTGTGTGTTGGGGCCTCTTGTAGCCTCATGCTAGGCCTGCCTGTCCATGTAATCTGCATCACTTATTTTTAGGTCACCCCTCTGTGGCAGTTTTTTCCTTGTCATTTCTAGATCAGTAGACAAATTTAGGGAAGTGAACTCTGTGAAGGTCTAATAATAATCAGTGTGTGATGGAGTCAGGATTTGAACCCAGAGCTATGTAATTCTGAAGGCACCTATGCCCCCTGCTGCCTGGACACTTAACCTGTGTAGCAGAAATTTTGAACTGGTCACCGAGGTACAACTGCTGCAGGCTGGCTAGAAAAGCCTGAACTGGGGCATTTTTTTACGACTGTGAAGATTTGGAGTACAGAACAATGATGCTTAAGGAGCTGACGTCCTTGGACTTGGAGAAGAGAATGATGAGAATCATGGTCTTCAAATGTGAGTGTGTTGCTTTTATGGGGAAGCATTAATAATCAGATATTCCTTGTTTAACGACCTACCTGTTTAACAACTGTCTGGATTTAGGGTTTGCCACTCATATTTACGACTCATCTTTTTTTTTTTCTTTTGTATGTTTTTGTGCATCTTGTTTGTAGAGCCTCAATGTCTTTTTTTTGTTCAGTACACCTTGTTTATACGGTACTGTAATTTTTGCTGATTACACTGTACAGAACAGTACTGTAGTTTTATGTTCTGTTTTACCTTACAGTATTGCATGTAAGAGTTATGCAAATAAAAGTGAAGTCATCAAGTTGGAGTTCCCTTTGACCATTTCTTTGTTCTGAATATTGTATACATACTATATACGATTCCTCATTTAGTGACCAAGTCACCTAATGATCTAGTCACAGGACCAGAACTTGGTCATTAAATAAGGAATGTCTGTAGTTATCTTTGTCTGAATTAGAGGCAATAAGATTAAGACACAGGAATAGGGATTTTGATAAGTTACACATGGGAAAACCTCTAACACATTAACATGAATTCTGAGACATTCCAGTTACCCTTCAACAGATATTTGTGGAAAAGGGTGCTTTCATTGCCAGGCTTTGGATATAAAATGGTAATCAAAATTCTCCTGGACATTGTTCTCACAATAGTTTAGTGCTAAAGGTGGGGACAGGAAACAGACCCATCAACAAGCAAGGGGATATATGCACTGTGTGTGTCTGGCCCAGGGAAGGCCTCCCAGACAACCAAGGCTGAACTGAGACCCAGAGCAATGAGGAGGATGGAGCTGGGAAAGGATAGTAGGAAATGTATACACAAAGCTCCGAGAGGTCTAAATGAAGTTCTGTGGGCCTAGAGGGCTGTGCATGTGGGGTTTGTCTTAGTGTCTTGTATTCTTAACTGTCCAAGACAGTTTAGGAGTAGTTTTGTCTGCAAAAAGAATGACTTCCTTCATCTCTTACA